TTCATATTAATTAATTTTTATCCCGATTTTTCAAATTGTATGTATGCCCAGAGACATTCTGCAACTTGATAGATGAAATTTAAGCAAAAAAGTAATTAAGCAGGATTGATTGCATTTCATATATCAATCAAATATGTAAAAATGAAAATTTGGAATCGCAGCCGCTAGAAAAGTCCATTTAAATAGAATTGTATGATGTAAAAAGAAGTGTTTAATAAATTAATGCGTACACTTCAGACGCCTTCGCCGTATCTCTATTGACCTTATATATTTAGAATTATCAAGGAAGTGCGCATAAAAATGAAAACCTTGTTCATCTTAGACTTAAGCGTTCTCGAGTTGACAGAACATTGGAGTAGAACAAAATTATCTCACAGTTTATACAAATTTTTACTATATTCGAAAAATTTATATATTAAGATCATAACAGCTGTTTTTAATGAGTTTTTCTAAAAAGTTCGTTTAAAGTCAATAGATACTAATTTTTTATAAAAATTGTAAATATTTTTAATAATAACTGAGTTATTGTAGTAGTAATACTTTCATATCAGTTAAAAATTAGGTAACTATTTACTAATCCAATTTTAAATTTAATATAAATATACATGGTTTCCCAGATCTTAACAAGTAAAAATGGGGTAATAGTATTCATCTTGACTGTAAGGAACAAAAAAAGGAAAATAAATTATGTACATAATTTTTGCTAATGCATTTTACTCACAATCAGTTCAAATGTTTATTATACGTGCAAGCTTCAATGTGATAGATAAAACCGTTTGAACTGAACGTGAGCAAAATGCCTTAGCCGTTATCGTGTTATTTTTAGGTTTTAATTTTTATACTCGAAGTTTTCAATAATAAAATAATAATAATATTTCACCTTTCATAATCCTGATTAAATGCTCCAACTTCTTATGCAACTTGCCAACACATTTTAGTACATTTTTTTAAAAAAGGGCTTTTCAAAATCTTCCGATTGAAAAAAATTAATTTTATAGTTTAACAAAAAGTCTTAATTCTTAAAAGTTTGGAGCGATTGTGTTATTGTTTTTGACTGTGATACTAAAAATGTTATTCTCGGTTCCAAAGTTTAAATGAACAAAATTAGTAAAAATTAACCTCAATAGCTGATTTATGGTGATAATTTTATCAAAGCTCTAAGTTGCACGTAAAAACTCATAATTTCTAAACAACATGAGATATTTTGTTCTAATTTTTTTCATGACTGTTAAGGTCAATACAATCACTTTGTTTCGGCTCGGCGTTACGGTCTGGAATACCCTGTATATATATATATATATATATATATATATACGTTTATTTAATGTATGTAAATTTATTGAGATAATATTATGTTCTACTCTAAATTCGAGTCCTCAAAGCAAACTCAAGTATAACTTATCTAAGCCACATGTTCGCCACATCAACCCAACATTAAAAATATACATCATTTCATTAATTGCGCATCATGGTTAAGAAATTATTAAAAATATTAAATTTAATATATATAAATATCCTCCTTAAGAAAATGTAAATACATTTTTTCTGTGATAATATTACACTATAATGATACCATAATTTTTGAAAATCTATTGTTTGGCATATTAAAAGTAAGGTGAAAATAATTAGGTTGGGCAAAAACAACAATCCGCCATAGATTGTTGATGTTTTGAGAAAAAACATTACCTTCATTGTCAAAATTTGTATGATAAATTTATTACTACCGATTACTAACAAATGCAATTTTCCTTTAATTGGGCGCGAAATAGTGAGGTAACAAAGCATTAGGCGGCGCGTGAACTCTGTTGATATGTCATATAAGCCATTTTTTTATTATGTACTAAGTTTTACTTTCTGAAATTTTATGGCGTATAAGACATATTAAATGTGAGTCACTACAAAAAATGGTCCCCTTTACAACTGGATGTACACAATTAGTTAATTATTTTTCATTATAATTATTTAGAAGTTGTTACTATTAATAATTCATAATCAGTGGTTGAATAAAATGAAAATGTATTCTTTCCATCTTTCAAAACACTTTTCATCTAGTAATTGAATTATAAATTTTAAATAACTTTTCTATATGAATTTATAACAATTCAACCGTTTTCATCATTTTGATTTTATTGCCAATACTGATTATCGCATAAAATGTTTGTAAAAAGTGTTTGATTTAAAAATATCGGCGTTGTTTTAAATGTTTTACTTATTTATTAATACATTAGACAGTAAGTTTAGTCATATAAATTTCAGGCGATTCAAATTTCTATGTAACAAATATTTTAAAAGCGTATATATTGTTAAAGAGTTATTGAATTTTGAATGATTTTAAATCGATGTATGAATTTTAGCTATGTTAACAGTTTTATAAATATTATTATTAGTTAAATCTATATATAGTAATTATTGTATCATATTCGCGAAATGTCACGTTTATTGAAATCCAGATTATTTATTAGGGGACAGATGCTATGAGTTTGGAATGTTAGAGCTTCAAGAGAAAATATTATATAGAATATTTAGTATTATCATTATAAAAAGACGTTTGTACAAGCCATAAGTACTTTCCATATGAATATATTAAGCTTTGATTATAAAAAAATTGATGAATTGTTTTTCGTACGACTTTCATTGCTTTTAAGTTCTTCTGATTTCTTTCAGATACATAATTTTACATAATTTTCAGCAAATTTTTGTTTTGCCAAAATTTGGCTGTATAAGTAGATTGATCCGTACTCTAAAAGAGACTATTAATTCCGTCAGTATATTTAGGAGCTAAACATATACCTAATAAGTATCAAACGCTAGAAATACTTTAGTATCGATATGAAACAAAGACGATTTCAAAATGTTTCTAATATTAGAATGGTAAAAAGTCAGTTAAGACCAACTCTCTTTAAAGGGTTCAAGTTACCTTTAGCTATTACCACGTTATAAAAATAGCTGAAATGAACTTGTATAAAACCAAAAAGCATTAATTTGCAATTATTGGAAGAACGGGGTATTAGTTTTTTTGCAAAGTCAGGTCCAGCTATTTCGAAGATACGGAGCTAAATGTAAAAAATGGCAGTTTTGCTTGTGTTGATGAAACAAGTGATTTTGAAAAATAATAATTAAAAATTTAAAATGTTTTGTATGTTGAAAATAATTCAGATTTTATTATTAATTCTGGCTAAAGTTCTAAAGCTCACTTATAAACTTTATATAAATAATTTAACTTCGAAATTTTGATTATATAATTCTTATAAATATTAGATAATATTACACTTGTTATAATAATCTCTTTGCAAACATTTATTACTCAAACATCTCGTTACGGTACGGGTATTTCCAGCAATTTGCCT